AACGGAATGTGCAAATACAAGATACTTTGTCCTTAATATTTACACAGTATTTATGAAGTTAAGGACATCATGTCCTTAATATTTACACAACACTCATAAAGTTAAGGACACTATATCCTTAACATTTACACTGCACACATGAAGTTAAGGACACCATGTCCTTAATATTTACACTACACATATGAAGTTAAGGACATGAGGTCCTAAAGTTTAACAACAGAAGGTGCAAGTACAAGTTAAGGACATTATGTCCTTAACATTTACACTACACACATGAAGTTAAGGACGTCGTGTCCCTAACATTTACACTGAACATATGAAGTTAAGGACATGATGTCCTTAATATTAGCACAGGGGTATTTTTGTCCGGACGGATAAAAAATTATTAAGCACTGGCTAAAAAATAAATATATTTTAAACGGTGGCTAAAGAGTAAAAATATCTCTAATTAGTGGCTAACCGTGCACATCAAGTAGCCACTTTAAAAGGCTGTTATTTAGGAATTAGCTAGTACATCCTGAATTTTAATTTTTCAGTTCAACAAAATGTCCCAAATTGTTCCGAAATTATAAAAATTGCATACTTATCCGTGCATGTAAGTTGATTCTTTTTAAAATTTTTATAGGTGTATCTTATTTGTTTGGCTGAGGTAAAAAAGCAAAATGGACGAATCAAGCGAATTTGTTTACCTTTCTATTTGGTTTAAGAGCATATATAAAAATCTTTTCAAATATGCATTAATAGATTATGAGCGTCCAGTTGTTGTCATTCCAGCAAAAAAAATATCCTTTCAAATATGGCAATGCCCATGATGCACGATTTGCATAAAGCAATTTGATATGCCTATCTGATTCAAGATCGAATTTAGCAATCAATTTTTCCCACTGACACTCAAATTCTTCTATGCTACCAATTTTATAAAGCCCGTGAAATTCATATTTAAATTGGAGATACCTTGAACCAAGGACAAAAGAGAACCAAGTAGAGAACTTGGATGTAATATGCCATATACAAAAGACATGTTTTGTGAGAGGCAAATCATTAGCGATCGCTTTTGTTAAACCAAGATCTTGATCATTTAATATGGTTTGTGGATATTTCCCGTTCATAAGCCGTAAGAAACTCTGGAAAATAAATAGGCATTAGCAATAAAAAAAGAAAATATTTAAATAATTTTGAGAATATAATAATATTCACCTTTAATGCCTATGAAAAGGAAGATGCCTTCTCATTTCGTAACAGAACACAACCAAAGAAAATAGTATTTCCATGATTGTTAACGCCAACCCAAACTCTTAGCGGCGTCTCATAATGATTCAATCGATAAGTAGTATAAAAAATAACTACGTCTCCAAAAAGCTCATAAGCACGAATAGAGTCCCCAAATGCCCAAATAATATTTTCAAGTCTCTGGCATGCATCAATTGTGAAATCATATTGGAAATCAACATCTTTGTCTTTCAAACTCTTACAAATTTTTAATAGCTCCAAAGCATCATATTCAATGTTGGTAGAACTTTTTGATTGAACAAAACTCCTGATGTCTTTTTCCGTAAAAAGCAATTGGCCTACATCTACGCCCTTTTCTAGTCCAAAATAGCGATCTCATCTAACTGAAAAACCAACTTGTTTAGCAAAATTTACATAGCAATTATACGCTTCATCATCACTATTAAACACTACCCTTATACAAGTCACTATTACCCATGTCAATATTTTCATGTCTAAGTTCTTTGTCTGATCTTTCAGTAATTTCTCCATTAATATAGCATTCATTATCACCACATGGACAATGACTTCTTGAGACACCTACGATAAAATCGACGGAAATATTATTAAGCACCTGTATTTAAAGCCAACAAAAGTATAAAATTTTATCAATACAGATTGTTTGATTAAGAAAAAGAACAAATAAAATGGAAATAATGGTGGCATAAATAAAAGAAAGAAAATTACAAAAACTTATACCATGATTCTGATACGAAAATAAGCATTTAAACCCTTACCTTCATCACAATATATGCGGCAAGGCAAAGAGAAAAACTTGAGATAAAAACCCTTTTAGAATTTGGGAAGAACCATCATTAGAGTAGAGTGACAATTAGTAGCGTGGAACGTAGAGATCTAAATTTATTTGGGCTTTAATTTTTAGGGAAATTGTGGGTTTGGAGAAGGACTAAAAAGCCCTTAAGCTTAATATGGTGGCTCTTAAATAATAAGGGCATTTTTATGAAGTGAAATATGCATACTATGTACTTAGATATATATATATATATATATATATTTACTATATTGAAATGTCGTTTGCTTTTTTTACCCTTATTTAGGGTTTTCTTGGTTTAGAATTAAGATTGTTTACTGCCGCAATTTTTGCGTTTTTCTTTGTTTTGATTCTTTACGCATGGCTTTCCTTTAGGATTTAGAATTCTTTATTATCAATGTTACCTATGTTACAGTGCGTCTCTTACGTTGTGTTTTTCCTTTGTTTAGGTTTAGGATTTACTTTAAGTTTCTAGAGGGTTTGCTTTGGTGTATTTAATCATAGTAGTATTTTTCATCTTTCTAATTTATTCTACAATATTTATTTGTTGTATTACTTTTACACAGTGGTATAGTAATGTATTCAAACAACCATTGCAGCAGGGAATAGGAGTACCTATTTCTTGAGGTAATTTATTTTTCTCATGACATGAATTCTTTCTCAAAAATAAATTTCAATGTGTCAATCTTAATGAAGGTTAAAGTTTTAACATATTGTAAAATTTTATAGGTAAAAAGGTATTATCAATAATGGTATCCGTAGTCAAATTTTGATTTGTTTTTTAAAATTTGATGGCTTAACAAAAATTTGAATTAACTTCCGGAGACATTGGTGGTTACATGTTAAGTTCATAGCGGCTTCACACTAATTGAATGTTCTACATTGAAAGTTATTGTCTTGTTTTGGTTTAGCATATAAGAAGTTGGAGATTGCCACTTTAGCTCTTGTCAAATTGATTTTTTTTGTTTAATGTGCAGACCGGAGATGATTAATGTCTTTATTTTCTTAAAGATAGGTGACTTCAACTATTTCAATTCCAATTGCAGTCATTAAATTATTTTATTTTTTGTATATTTTGCATATGAATGCAAACATAAGAGTTTTATTTAGTCACGACACATGTATAAATTTTGTAGGTGTTTGAGTGTAGTTTGTTATTCAATTTATTTGATCTATTTTAATATTTGAGACAAGATTACTTAACATTTATTTGGTATGAATTACGTCTTAGTGAAATTTAGTGCGATAAGTATCTATAAGATTTATTCTGATGAGTGAAGGTATTAAATTTAATGTGATTGCAATGAACGATATTATGTTTGAATTTAATCGGGGCTCTTGCTAACATATTTTACGGTTAAGGTGCTCCTCTCATGAATGCATTTTTTCTATTCAAATTGGCATCTTCAGAACGCAAGGCTGTTGGTGACCCATGTATTAATAATTTAGTGTCCTTACCTATTTTTACTTTCTTTTATTGGATATTGTTAAAGAGCAATTATATTCTTTATCCCTTTAGTATACTTTTTTTTAGAATACGCATCCTATTATTTTTTTAAAATAGTAGTCAAATATATAAATTATTATCTTTTTTTTTAAAGTACAATATGTATTCTTTCAATATGTTTATAATATCCTTGAGATGCTCAAAAGAATTATGAAGTGTTTGATTGTGTGATTGGCATGTTTCTTTAAGATTGTTCTTCCCAGTACTTTATAATTAAAATAATTTTAATCTTTCTTGAAAATGTATTTTTTATTTTTATTTATGTCAAATTTTAAAAATTGAAATCAATCTGATTACTTCTTTTGAAAATATATTTTCCTCCTATATTTAGTTTAGGAATTTTAGGAATTTCTTTTTTACTTTGCCTCGTATCGTTTTTGCAGTCCTCTTAGATACATTGAGATAAAATTTTAAAAAAAATGTCAAGACTTTGTCTCATATTTTGCGATTTGAAATGATTCTCTAGGAATAAATAAAATGTTTCTTCAAATAGTAACAAATGGTAAATAATCTTAGTTAAGACTATGAGGACTTGTGTAGAGCAAACTTTATTGCATTATTGATTCAGATAAATGAAATTAACATTCTCATTTTAAGAATTTATACGATTTCCTTTAACGTCTATGTATAACTCAAGATATAATTTTTAATAATATTTATGTGATTTTTAAAATTTCTTACTCAATGCAGGACACAAGACAACACACATAGACTAGATTCTATATTTTATAGTATATTAAAAGTATGAAAACAGTTAGCAAAATACCGTTCGCTATTTTTACCCTTTAAAAACAGATCGCACACTAGATAAAAATAATTATTTTATTATTTTTCTAATATTTAAGAATAATAATAGTCATTTAATATTTTTTTTAATATTTAAAAATTTGAAATCAACTAGATTTTACTATTAAATCCTTTGTTATTTGAACTATGTAAACAATAAATCTATAAAAGAAAAATAATAACAAAGAAATAACATACACCAAGAATATTGTCAACAAAGATATCATACAATAAAATACCAACAATCAAATACTATATAAGTAATTCACCTAAAACCAGAAAATACCAAATTCTTTTAATTAAACTATTGTGTCAATGTATGTTTATGTTTTCGTTAAAATGAATATTGCATAACGTTAATTATTATTACACATAATTTTTTTATTCTATATTTTGTATAATTTTTATCAATAAACCCAAAAAAACACGTGCAACACACATACTAAAACTAATATATATTCTCTTCGCATAGTTGAGTAACTTTTTACGTTATGCTTGAAATTTGTGGCAACTGAGAAAAGGACATATAAACAACTTAAATATTATGTACACTTTCTTTTTTCTTTGATGTCTTCTTCTTTATTTGACTCTCCCAGTTTCCGTTGACTGTGTGAACTACTTTCATTTTTGATCTGGATCTTACCAGCTTATGAAATCACTGAATAATTATAGTTAGTTGAATAATGAGGGAAGAAGATGAACTTCCATTAGAGGGACAACTACACAAAGAAAAAAGCCAAAAGAATAAAATGTTGGGACTAATTCTAAAACCATATTACTGGTTCAGAATGCTATGTGATGAATTTCACTGGAGCTTTGTGTCAGGTGTGGTTATTATATATGGTATTAATCAGGGATTGAGTACAGGTCTAAGCAAGATTAGTACTCAGTATTATATGAAGGATGAGCAAAAGCTACAACCCTCTGAAGCTCAAATATATTCAGGAATAATTCAACTTCCTTGGATTGTGAAGCCTATTTGGGGCCTTTTAACTGATACTCTTCCCATTAGAGGATACAGAAGGAGGCCATACTTCATTCTTGCTGGTATGTGATTTAGGTGGCAATAAAATTTAAATTACCATTTGTATTTTTCAAGATAATTGCTCTTAAAATTAATGATATCCGATTTGTTTGTATTTAATCATCATCGATATTTGACTATGCCATTAGTTTAAATGGAGTAACATGTTCCATGAGTATTTATATAGCCGACCCAACTTATTTTGAACTGAGGCAGTTGTTATTGTTGTTGTGATTTCCAAATTAGAACATTAAGTAGTGAACATTTTGGTTTGTTTGCTCAGACCAATGGCTTCTGAATTGAAATGTTGAAAATATCAAATGTCTTGTTTAACTTATGAACTTTTCCAGTTTTCGTATTTCAATTTTTCTGATTGAACTCAAAAGTTCCTCCTCTGTCACTTATCAGTGATGACACTGCAATAACACCAAAATTGTGTCTTATCATTAAGAACTGGTAAACTGACCAACTAGAGACCAAACACGACAACCGACTTAAAATCCTTGGCTGGGTGGGGTTTTCTGATTGGGGACAAAGCTGTATTTGAATACTGAATTATTAACTGAGCTCTTAATCAACAAAAAAGATAGGAATTAAACTAAATCTTCATCTTCATTGGTTAACTTTTCATTAGCTGTGATGATAGTGGTATCATCAGACATTTTTATTAATGCCACTCTTTCAAGAATTCGACTTATTTATACTGGATGTAAGCTATTGACTTAGTTCTCCAGTAGCTGGTCTACCTCTAGAATCAATGCATCGGTAATAATAAGATGATGTCAGTGTGAGATTGAAGAATATGAATGGTGTTATCCAACGGCAATGTCTCTAATTTACCTTTTCGTTATAACTTCTTTTAGATATGGATATAGAGGGAAATTCGAAAGGCTGAGCAAGATAATATTTGTTGTCAGTGTTATGTAAAGCAGCTTATGGCTGTCTTGTAGTCTAAAATATTTGATTGCTCATTGCGATCGTTGCAAATATACATTCTGTAACTTGTTGTGCTTCTGCTAAAAATGACATTGCATTTGTCAGTGCACCTGTACTATAGAAAAGACATTTTGTGGTATTGAAATGAAATAATCCCAAATAGAGCGTAACAGATATAGAACATTCATAACATTAACCCCCATTAGTGGGTTGCTCTAGTGGTGAGCACCCTCCACTTCCAACCAAGAGGTTGTGAGTTCGAGTCACCCCAAGAGCAATGCGGGGAGTTCTTGGAGGGAAGGATGCCGAGGTTCATTTGGAAACAGCCTCTCTACCCCAGGGTAGTGGTAAGGTCTGCGTACACACTACCCTCCCCATACCCCACTAGTGGGATTATACTGGGTTGTTGTTGTTGTTGTTGTTGTTTGGTATTGAGTCGTCTTTGAGTGACTGATTAATTCTCTTTTCTAGAATATAGAAATAGCTTGCTGCTTTGTAGTTGGTTTAAAGAATTTACTTTATCCAATTTCAGATGTCGAGTTGTCAAATAACAGACAGAAGAGAATTCTTTTGACTTGCCTCCCTTTGTTCTTTAGGTTTTCTTGGTGCTTTTGCCATGCTCAATTTGTCATTCGGCCACAACTTACAACTTGCATCTGCTTTGTTGTGCCTAATGGGTGGAAGTGCTGCGCAGGCAGTAGCAGATGTTACTATTGATGCATGTGTCACAGAGAACAGTATAAGCCATCCTTCTCTTGCCAGTGACATGCAAAGCTTGTGTGGAGTAAGCTCTTCAGTTGGGCAACTGATTGGGTACACTATCAGTGGCTTTTTGGTTCATCTAATTGGATCTAAGGTTTGGTATCGCGGACCTATTTCGATCATTGTCGATGGAATATTGCCTCTGCTTTAATTTGCATTTTGCTAATTGGCTAATCATTTATCAAGACTGAGGAGTTGTTCTTGATTTTTTTAATGAATCTTGTTGAATGCTTTTTCCTGTTAGATGAAACTACTGTATATTATTCAGATATATTGGTTTGTTCATATCCACAAGAGTTTATGGCTTCATTAATCTTTTTGTTGGCTTAACCTACTCTAGCTTACCTCTAGAATGAACATAATGATGCTGCTTCATGAGTAGCCTGAGTTACTTATTGCCTCTTGTCACTTGATATTTCCTTGTTTTCTGATAAATGTAATCTGGTAGGGAGTGTTTGGAGTTTTAAGCATTCCAGCTGCGCTGGTAATTTTGGTAGGAATGATGCTGCACGAACCCTTTATACACAATGTTGCATACAGGCAGGTATATTGGAACATCGTATATCCCTTTGCTCGGCTTAGGACAGTTCTTGATCTTCTTGTATTTGTATTGTGAACATATGTTTCTGCAAACAGGTAGGTCAAAAGTTCTTGGATGCTTGTAAGGCTATGTGGATGGCTCTGAAATGCGAGAATGTGTGGAGGCCGTGTCTGTACATGTATATTTCCCTTGCATTGAGTTTGCATATTCACGAGGGAATGTTTTACTGGTATACAGATGCAAAGGGTGGCCCATTGTTCTCAAAGGTACTTGAACTTTTATCTATTCAAACCTTGTTTGTCGACAACTTTGTGATTCAAGATCTTACCTCTTGCTCATGACTTTGCATATTCCTTATTTGTCTTCTTATGGAGTTGGAAAATAACATCTTAATCACAGAGTATCAATCCATTTTCGACATTTATGCAGGAGATTGTAGGTACAATATCCTCTGTTGGTGCAGTAGGCTATCTTCTCGGAGTTCTCCTCTACCAAAATTCTTTTAAAAACCATCCTTTTCGTTTCGTACTTTTTTGGTCTCAGCTATTATATGGCGCTTCAGGACTGCTAGATTTGATATTGATATCACGAGTAAACCTGCAGTTTGGAATCCCTGATTATGTTGTTGCTGTATGCGATGCTGCAATTTCTCATATGATTGGGCGTCTCAGATGGATGCCTCTTCTTGTACTCAGTTCAAAGCTTTGCCCTTCTGGCATTGAAGGAACTTTTTTCGCTTTGCTAATGTCAATTGATCATGTTGGCAGTCTCACAGCATCTTGGGCTGGAGGCCTTTTACTTCACACCTTGAATGTCACAAGAACTCAATTTGACAACCTTTGGATAGCAGTAGTTATCCGAAGCTTTTCGAGGGTTCTTCCCATTGGCCTTCTATTTTTGGTGCCAAGCAGTGATCCCACTGCTTCTATTCTACCAACTGAGATGTTGAATAGGAAAAAGGGAGACGATAACTTGGGCGCTCAAAAGCTGGAGATGACTCCACTAGTAACCAACATCGATCAACATTTAGTGGATTCATAAGTGCCATAGTAGGGAAAGTATATTCCACCATTCTGGTGTGCAAATGTTTTTGTCTCTCAGCTGCTATTTTTTTAGCAGCATGACCGAGGTTGTACAAGACGGATTTACTAGCTTTCTGGTAAAGAAGTTAGAGCACACGTAACAAAGTTATTTACCTGGTACGGCTCAACTTGATGTTAACCATTTGTATTTTGTACCATTTTAGCAACTAGCAAATGACCTTGTAAATTTGTTTTTATGAAGTAGTACTTGTGAATCCAGCTCAAGAATTGAAACGTGCTAGAGTGGTTGGCTCTGGTATTGTTGTGATTTCGAGGAGAAAAAGGAATCATTTTTTTTGGCTCTGTCATTTTTCTTTCCTGCCACAACCTACGGACCACAGGCTCGGTTGTCGAGACATTCTATTGTGGGCCTGATACCTGTTTTTATATGCTTGTAAAGAATATGCTAATTTGTATTCTTTCCTGTAAAAACTTTTGATTTTTGATGAGATGATTAAGAATCAATATTTTCTTACTCGGCCAAAAAAAAATTCAATTACCTTCTTCTCTTTGTACATACAACTTAGCAGTGATATTATAGAGAAAAACAATTGAGGTTCCTCTCTTGTAGTCAATATGCTGTTTTCACATTTTATATAAGGATTGAACTGTTACATCATTAAGAGAAGTTTAAGGGATATTTTACATAACCATAACTGCCACCCATAATATCTGTATCTTCCTCCATAAGTAAAGCTCCAATAGTTATCTCTGTCTAGCAAAATAGTAAAGATATCATCGCCAACGAGTCATTATTGGCCTTTAGATATTATGTCATCTACATGAAACTGCAGGTTTCTTTTGCAAATCCAACTTGTGACTGTTTTGTGTCATATATGACCCTGGTGTTTCTCTGCTGAAAATTTCCAATAATTCCAGTCTCATCTTCATATTGTAGGCTTGCCAAAGCCAAACAGACCTGAGATGCATCACTCTTCACAAAATAGAAAACACCAGCAACATCCACTTCCATCTCAGCACCACTGTCGAAATATATTTTAATGGTTGGAATGTTCACTTCTTCATATGCAGAGAGGTCAAAGCAAGTGTCAAGAATTGAATAATCTTGTGCAAAAGGGTACCCTGAAAATTGTTTCAAGAACTCAGCTTTAACAGCTTTGTAAATGGAAGGAGGAAGCCTTGTAATAACTGTGCCAGAATCAATGAGAAATCCACTTTGGCCAAAACTTGAATCTTGAACAACAACTCCACCTATAGTCATCCCAGTTATATTGAGAAAATAGAAGCTAAAAAGCTGTGGATTTGGAACCATTTTAGTGTAAGAGATTGGTGTAGAGTTCTTGAAAACTGAAGCATCACCACCAAATACTAGTGAGCCAGAGGACTCTGCCTCAGTTGAAGGCAAACAATAAGAGAAAACACCTCCAAACACATCAGAAGTTTGAGATATTAAAGAAAGATCACTCCTTCCAAGTCCCATAAGACCTGAAGCTAAACCAAAGAGACCTCTATTATTCCTACCACAGCCAAAAACAAAATTGTCAACTGAACTGTTTCCAAGAACCAAATGCTCCTGGCCAAGTTCACCTTTTGTGTAAGATCCATCTCCATAACTTACAAGGTAATTACAAGTTTGTGAATTAGTACCACATAGTCCTGAATTCCCGGTTGCAGATACAAGAGATTGACAGGCTGATGAATTACATGCAACTGATTGATAAGAAGAGGAAAATGAGGGGTTGAAAAGAGGTTCTGGTTGACTGTAACACAATCTACAAGGTTGGCATTGAACCCAAGTAAGATCACTTCCTGTGTCCACAATTACTGTCATGTTTCGACCGCCTAATCTCATTGTGACAATGTAATTTAGAGTCTGCATTGGGACACCTGAAGTGATAGGAATTCGGGTGGTCTGTGATAAAGTTTCAACTTGTTGTGAACTGATGTTCTTGATATGTGATTGCATTGACTGAACTCGAATATCATCAGCTACCAATCGTTGCTGCAGCCTTCTATTCAAGTCACCTCTTGATCTAGAGCAGTAATCTTTGTGCTTCATTTCCAATATTGTTGCCCCATTTTCACTTCCTGGAAAACCACAGATGATGACTATTAACAACACGTACTACTTTGAAGGATTTATACCTTCAAGGTAATTCTTAACACTAAACTCACTGTACTACTTTGAATTTATTGGTTCCAAATTTAATATCGAATGAAATTCTAGTAGGTTTTCACACACACACACACACACATATATATATA